TCCAAAGACTTTGTACTTTTTAATATCTCCTTTTCTCTGCATGTCAATTAATGATTAACAGTCTTCCTTATATTCCTCCTTGTAACACTTCCAGCCATCTCCAAGTAGATTTTCATAAAGCCAACAAAACAAATTAAAGATCAGACATTATTAAAAAAAGTTCCACGATTCTGTGTAGTTTAAGGTAGAAAGCAACTGAGATACTACAGATATTACTCTTTCAAAAAATATTCTGCACTAATGGCAGTGAGGAGTAGGTTATACACTCTCAAATCAATCAAAATCAATGGCCTGATTCTGAATCAAGCACATCACTCAGGTTACACTGCTGTACCCATTAGAACTGAGAAAAATCCTCATGCAGTTTTGACCCGTAACAAGCATGATGGAAGATCAGTGAAATTTTCCAGTATTCTTGAGAGCAGACTGTAGCTGCAACTTTTCTGTATCTGTTAAAAAAACGCTGTTCCGATCTAAGCCTGATTTTTCAGCACACAAATCAAACAGCACCTTTAGTCTGTATTCTAGACTGCAGATAATCCTTTATTTCAAAAGCCCATCTAATGTTCAGTATTTTAATTAAAGGGGGGGGGGGAGCCGCTACTCTGGATACTACAGTAGTTTGTCCTGCAGATAACAGCTACACTTTTTCATAAACTAGTAAGATTACTTCACTTAGCTCCTTAGCATGCTGAATCACTCCAGCATCACTGAATGAATGTTACCCGTCCCACCTCACCACAAAAACCCATTTTTTTGCAACCTACAGGATGATCATTCCCACGCTTTTGTGAACAGCAAAAAAGCTGTAACTGTCTCCAATTCTTCCCTTAATAACCCCTCTCGTGTACTCATAACCAAAGCTTGGCAGGCAGAGCTCTATAATCTCCACACCGCTACTGAAAGGCGCACACCAAGACGTGTGCCTCTGACTTGCGAAAGTAACTGGCTACAGCGCACTGTCTGGAGACAGGCCCAGAATCCACAGAGACTCCCGGCGGGTAGTTAATCCAGGGTCGCACCACTACCTTCCCACACCATGTGCGAGAAGTCCCGTCCCTTGGCAGTGAAGCCTGCATGGCCGGCAAAGCCGTAAGGCTGCAGGCGAGAGCCTGCGGCCAGCTCTCCGCGCAGAGGCTGCTGACACAGCGGGCCGGGGCCTGCAGCACGCCCGGCCGAGCCGCGCATCAAAGGAGGCCGATGCTTAGGGGCACTGCAAAACGGCGCGGAGAGGTTCCGTCCGTCCGTCCGTCCGTCCGTCCCATCGGCACCCGGTGTGCCCGACGGCCGCGCTCCACCCGCACCTGGTCGTCCTCGTAGATGATATTGGCGGGGATCTCCTTGCGGATGATCTTCCCGAAGATGGTATCACCACCGGGCCGGGCAGCCTGCGCCTTGCTGATCTCGTCAGCCATGGCGGCCGTACCCACGTACCTCCCGCCCCGCTGCGCCGCGCTTCCTCCGGTGGCCACGGCCCCCGCCGCGCTCATTGGGTCGACAACTCGGCGCCTGCCGGCCCTACCCACCGTGATTGGTAGCTTCGCCTGTCTTTGCCGCCCTCGCTGGCCCGGAGTGGTAGGGCTCGGGAGGCGCGGAGGGATTCGGGGACGGGAATGTCTGAGAGCGAGTTGCGGAGGGATCAATGCCGGCATAGGAAACCAAGAACAGGTGGTACGTCTCCGTTTCACGCAGTGGGGTTCCAGAGGTGGCTGTTGCAGCCGCAAATGTTGTTTATTGCCACATCAAATCCGCCCAATACCGGTGTGTGTTATCTTGCTGTGTCCTGCTGCCAAGTGACTGTTGCTGTCAGGGATGCCCTAAGTTTTCCATGGAAGTTTGAAGGACAAACAGAAGCTGCTCTGAATCTAGTGAATCCTGGCGACCCTGATGCCTTGACAGCTGAGAGCTGTGTGATTCTGGAAAAGAGGAGAAGGTGAACAAATCACATTAGTGTCTCATGGCTGCTCATGGCCTGGATAGGTGGAGTCTTCACCAGGTTGGAGACTGGCTGGATAGCCGAGCCCGAAGAGTGGTAGTAAATGGTGTCACGATTTACCAATGTCAAAAGTGTCAAGAGTTGGTGACTAGTGGTTACTAGTGGCATCCCTCAGGGCTTGGTGATAGGGACAGTGTTGTTTAATACCTTCATTGATGATCTGGACAAGGAGATCAAGGGCACATCCAGTAAATTTGCAGACGACACCAAGTTGGGTGGGAATGTTGACCTGCTGAAGGACGGGGAGGCTCTGCAGAGGGATCTGTACAGGCTGCATTGATGAGCTGTGGCCAGTGCTATGAGGTTCAACAAGGCAAATTGCCAGGTCCTGCACTTGGGCCACAACCACCCCATGCAAAGCTGCAGCTTGGGGAAGACTGGCTGGAAAGCTGCTTGGCAGAAAAGGACCTGGGGGTGCTGATTAGCAGCTGAACATAAGCCAGCATGTGCCCAGGCAGCCAACAAGTCCAATAGCATCCTGGCCTGTATCAGAAATAGCGTGGCAGCAGGGCCAGGGCAGTAATCGTCCTCCTGTACTCAGCACTGGTGAGGCTGCACCTTGAATCCTGTGTTCAGTTCTGGGCTCCTCACTACACAAGACTAAAAGCTACTGGAGCAGGTCTAGAGAAGGGCAACAAAGCTGGTGAAGGGCCTGGAGCACAAGTCTTATGAGAAACGACTGAAGGAACTAGGGTTGTTTAGTCTGGAGAAGAGAAGGCTCGAGGGGACCTTTCTGCTCTCTACAGTTACGTGAAAGGAGGTTGTAGTGAGGTGGGCATCAGTCTCTTCTCCCAAGTAACAAGTGATAGGACAAGAGGCAATGGCCTCAAGCTGCACCAGGGAAGGTTTAGATTGGATCTTAGAAAAAAATCCACAGAGAAAGGGTGATCAGGCATTGGAACAGGCTGCCCAGGGCAGTGGTGAAATCACTGTCCCTGAAAGTGTTCAAAAAATGTGTAGATGAGGCCCTTAATGACATGGTTTAGTGATGAACTTGGCACTCCTGGGGTAACAGCTGGACTTGGTGATCTTAGAGGTCTTTTTCAACCTAGTTGGTTCTATGATTCAAGGCCCTTCAGGGCTGGAGGGGCCCATCAAGATCGGGGATGGGCTGAGCTAGGTGTTAGGTGCTGCTAGTATCAGAATGGCTCTTGCAGAGGGGAGATCATGGGCAGTTTGATGAGTCATCCCTTCTACACATGAGCCAATTCCTCACTATAAAACAAACCAGTCAATATGACCAGGCAATAATCCACTGAGGACAACACATTATGACATGTATTCATAAATATTTTTTTATATATACCAAAATGAAATATTATATATATATCAAAATGAAAAAGCAGGGGGGGAGAACTAACAATGTAACAATAAAGTAACAAGTAACACTGAAGTAACAATGAAGCTTAATTGTCTGAACTTTATAGTTAAAATAGATTCAATCTGATTTCCCCTCAAGCTTTGTCACAAAGTAAACATATATGAATGAGTGCATTAAAATCTTTAGACAAAACTTGTTCTCGCTCCAAGTTGTTGAATGTTGATACATGACTGACTACTGCTACTACCAGCTGCTGACAGTGATGTGTAATAGCTTGAGATACATATATTTGCATTATTAATCATAGGTACGCTTACTACTGGTGATTTTTCTGGTAGCACAGTTGCTAGCAGTGATTATTTTGTGCTAAACTGTAATAGAGAAATTTAGATGAAGAAACATCCTTGTGTTTTACAGACTCCTGCAAACCCAGGGTTGTGACCTCTGTGCACACGTGGGCCAGCTCACCCTTCAGGCAGTGGCAGGGCTGGAGACCAGCCCTGCTGCAGTACTGCAGGCCCTGGGGGGCTTACATGGTGCCCTGGGCCATGGGTTGGGCAGACCACTAAGGCACTAAGTGCCTTAAGTGAGGAGCCAGTGAGCCTGGGTGGACCCTAGCACCTACCATCAAAGGCAATTCTAGTGTCAAAACCTGCAACTCCTCTTTAGGTCACCTGAAGAAGCATATCTGATTTTTCCCAAAGTTTAGGCTGGATTCCTATCTACCAACTTCAGTAGGCATAAAAACAGGGTAATGGTTTTGATATGCAGATAGAATCCACAACTCATTAAAGCTGTGAAGTAGGTATGCTTTATTCAGTGCTGAGGCGCATGGGGGATTGCTCCTCCAAAGGCACACGCATCCCAGCGTTGTTCTCCTCTATATTTATTTACTAAAATACTCCATATGCATTAGGTTACACAATACACCTATACACATTCATGTCCTACCCCTGCGTTGTATTATAATGAGCTAAAAGGTCCTTTGTGCTTTCGCAGTGCCTTCTGGTGGTCGTGGGCAAGGGTCTCAAGATGAAGTAAACAAGTCTTCCTCGGACCTGAACTTTTCACCTTTAGTCGTTGTGTATGCTCCCTGGTTGTTTGGTCACCATCCAAACTGCAAAGCTGGTTTCAGCCGGTTTAGGGGTCCAGAGAGCAGGAACCAAGTTACAGTTCCTTCCTCTTATCAATAGCCTTGCATGCTCCCATCCTGCTTTGGCAAGCACAATAAATGTTAAGCAAGCAGTATACATTGTTTAGCAAGCAGCTGCAGCCCCTAATAAATCATTCCTTAACCCTAACTCCCTTGCATCGGTTAACCCCTCGCATCAGTAGCACCATTAAAGAAAAAAGAGATGGGGGTTATAGGAGGGCAGATGGGAATTGAGAGTTTAAATGCAACCGAGAGCTTCTGGGAAGTAACACCAAGTGTTAAACCACGTGCGGGCCACACACTGACAGCTTTCTGGTTTGAAACTGAGATTCTCCGTCGGAAGAAGGAGGTATAATACCTTGTGCCGGCAGCCCACGCCGTAAAAGGGGCCTGCGGGCAGGTTGCCTGCTGCCTTGGGACCCCTCCAGAGATCAGCGTCAGTGCTGCGGCAGTGCCCCGGCAGCCTAAGCCGGCGCTGGCCGTACCAGCACCCCGGAACACCGGGATGACAAGCGCCACCCGCCGACGCGCGGACGCACCACCTGTTTGATCGTCACTTCCGCTCCCAGATCTCCCCCGCTCGTCTGGGCCGGAACAGGACGGCGGTCGCCATGGCGAGCAGGCGGCAGGTGAGCGCGGCGCGCATGCGCAGCCAGGGCTTCGCGCGGGGGTGGCGGCTCACTGCCGGCGCTGTCCCATCCTGCCCGCAGCCCCGGTACTCGGGGATCGCCGCGAAGGAAGTGGAGCCGGGGCCAATGGGAAAAGGACGAGGAGGGCCTGCTCCGGTGTGGTGGTACAGGCTGCTCGCTCTCTCCCACTTCTCTCCTTTCCTCCGTTGCCTCCTTAAAGCGCTCGTGGGGCCGACTTTGTAGTTGCCCGTTTGTCCGGCGCCCTGCGTGAGGTCGCGGTCGCTCGTGCCCTGAAGAGTCGTGGGTCTTGCCCTCGAGAGCCGGCCCTATCGTGGGGGTTTGTCCGTCCTGCGTTCCCTGGAGCTGTAGTGCCGGCTGGCCCGGGGAGGCGTGCCGTGTTCCCCGCAAATCTGCGGCCTTTGGCTGTAAATAGTGACTACACACAGGTTACATGCATAGAGCATATGTCACCGGAGGGTAGGAACTTTTCCGCTGGCATTTATAGCCTCAAAAAGCAGAGGCTTTCCGGGCAAGAAACCCATAGAACTAGGTAATAGTAAGAAGCGTTTTGTATGCAGAAGATGTTGTAGAAAAAGGAAACGAGTTGAGAGATGACAATCAGGTAGAGGTTAAGGTATGTCAGGAGAATGAGTTATGAAGGGAAAATGAAGAAAAGCAGACAAGAATTATTTGAACCTTTAAACTTAACAGCATAGAGTACTTCTGGGGGCACTTGAGCCCCTGTTTCAGACGTGTTCTGAAGCCTAGTATTGGGAGGACTAATACACTAAGGTATTAGGGAAGTTCTGTTCCATTAGGTGACTGTAGACCTCAGAGTATTAGTACATATTGCTTCAAAATCATGTATGTATCTCTGTGGTTGGTATGGTGAAGAACTTTATATGAGGGGTTTGCAGAAACAGGCAAATAGCAGAGGAAGATGCCTGAAAATTGTTGATCAGAGTTTAGAATAACCATAAACCACTTTCACGTTTCACCATGCACTCAAAAACCATTTGTGATGCTAACTTTACTGTTCACAAAGATGGCAAAAATATTCTGGGTTAGAAATCATGTCCAAATAATTTAGTCAAATCTCTTAAAATATGTATACAGAATAAAAAAATTGTTTGCCGAGTTTTAATTCTGTTGGTTTACTTACTACAGGATCAGCCACCTAGGGAATGCTGTAGTAGAAGGTAGCACTATTCTCTTCAGTTGCTAATTATCAAGGACACAAGCTGAAAAGGAGGTAGCAGTCTGTGTTCTCTTCCGCATGTCACTCCTCAGCTTCATTTACGTGCTTGTCAAGTTACATACTGATTCTAGAAGTGGCAAAAGTTTTTCACTTGAACATTCATGAGACCCTTAACGCAATTGAGAATGCACTGAAAGATCTGTAATGCAGTACTGTATAGTGAACACAGTGCTAATTATAGTAGATATTATGACATGGTCTAATCCATGTGGTGAAGTAAGGTTGGAGTTTGTTCATATTTGTAAGTTGTCCCTTACTGAGACTAAAGGTGTGGTAGCATTATGTGAAAGAAGCAGTACTGAACCGGAAAGTTTCCTATTCTCATGCCTTCATCTTCTTCCTAAAAACTCACCTTCTGTGCATATACACTTCTGGCTGAATTATTTTAAGGTGTGGCCAAGTGACCAGCTGAGCAGAGGGTGAGAACTTAGCTTGAAAACCTAAAAAAATGTGTCGACATCTGTTGGGAGAAATAGCTTTCAGGGAAGCTTGCTGTTTTTGTCATTGCTAGATTTAAAGCAGAGGCAGCACTTTTTCAGGGCCCTGCCAGGATGTTGGTTTTGGCCTTTTAGGGGACAGTCTTGTTTGTATTTCCAGCTGACAGATAGAGAGCATGCTGACAAAGAAGGTGGGCATTTGTCAGTTACAGCCCTGTGTTTCCTCTGCATCCTTCTAAGAAATTTTTGGCATATTAATTGTGAGAAAAAAATTTAAGGTTATCATGAAATACCTGGAATTGTGCTTTCTAGATGTGCCAAAATGCACTTCAAAAGGTACCTTGTTATCAATATTTTTTTATTTTTTATGGTGCTTGTTAGGGATTCTTGTCAATCTCTTGCAAACTCCAAAAATAGTCTGTTAAGGACTTGAGGATTTCTGTAATTCATTACAGTCTAATGAATAAACATCCAAAACCATGAGCTGTGATTCTTGGGGGTTTTGGTTTATGTAAATACTGATGTGTGTCACTTTTACATTGTAAATCCTGATATTTTTTTTTTAGTGTTTGCTTTTACTGAAGTTTTTATTTGCTGATCTGGCAGTTTATATTTAGGGACTTTGCTTTGTTTTGGTTTTGCCACATTACCTGTGGAAGATTATGCCCAGGTGTTCTACAGAGACATAAAAAGTCTCTATAAAGACGGTTTTAGATCCTTTTGAAATTTACTTCTCTCGTGTTGGCTTGTGTGAAAATAGTTCAGGCATTTGTGCTTCTTTATTTTGTAATCAGATGATTTGACATTTACAGTTACTCTGATTTCTGTTGGGTTTATTTGATATTGGCACAATAAATATGTTTTCATCAATGTATTTGCAGAATTATATTCGTGTAATGCCAAATGATGATTTAGGAGTGTGGTGCTAATACTCTAGCATTTTAGCTTAATTTGAAACATCTAGAACTGTCTAGGATATTTCCTCATGTCTGCTTTGGATGCAAGTTACTTAATCAGAGATCGAGGAGTAGTATCTTAGCTACCAATTCCATACCTAATTCTGTACTAAATGGAAAGAACATGAAAGATTGGTTGGAACTAGATGATCTTTAAGGATCTTTCCAGCCCAAACCATTCTGTGATTCTGTGGTCAACCAGACCACCCTAATTGCAACATGTTCATTTTAACTAAGAATCCTGATAGGAAACAAGCTAATTCTATTGATGTTGTATTGACAGGTGTTGAAACTTTTTAAATCATTACACAGAACCCGGCAAGAAGTTTTTAAAAATGATACCAGAGCCCTTGAAGGTGAGATACCTTTTTCATGTGGTGCACACTTACCTGTCTTTCCATGGAACTTTCTCCTCTGAATTCACAGGAAAAGAATTCTTAACATAATCTTCCTTTAAGTTATAACTTTCATATTTTATAATTAATCATTGGGAAAACTTGTAAGTCCATACCTAGATACCCTTTAATTTTAAACAAAAAAACAGTTGTTGAATTCAGGCACTCAAGCCACATTTCATAAGGAAACCATCTCTTTTCTGGAACCTTGGTGATCTTCCTGGGCTTTTTATTTTACCTGGGGGTTTTTTGTTTGTCTTTTTTTTCACTTTCTTCTCTTGAGTCCAGCCAAAGCATGTTTAACTGTACTAAGCATTTGAGTTGATTCTCTTTCTGTATGGTTGCTCCTCAGGGGATAAATACTGCTTTTTTAATAAACCAGCTTTTAGTAGTGTCTCCTGGTTTTAAAGCTCAGAATGCTAGACAATCATATTTTATTCCTATACCAGTCAAGTTAAAACATAACATCACCTGAATTGCATGGAAAACTTATTTTAAAACAGTCAGTGTGTACCCAGAAAGTGCTATAAAGGATGAAGGATTGTGAGCTTTGAGGCAGTGACTAAGACAAGATACAGTTTTTATTCATGCTTGTGTGTTTGTTTGTTTGTTTGTTTAGCTGCAAGACAAAAGATAAATGAAGAATTCAAAAATCACCAAGATGAGACATCTGAAGAGAAGATAAATGAGGTACTTCTTGGTTTCACTGTTTTTTTCCACTTTGCTTAAGAATACTTACCTGATCTCTAAACCGGTGTTAAGTACTTCTTGAGACATTGTGAGAGCCAGGTGAGTCCAAAAAGGCTTTTACATGGATCTTTGTTTAGAAATGTATTGATACCTCCATTTATATTAATAGTATGTTACAGAATTTTGTACATACAAAAGCACAGAATGAGAAAGTGTCTTCTGGTATTTCAGTATGCCTATAATTAAGAAAAAAAAAAAAGTTTTATGTTGCTATTTTTCACATGACTGTTTTGTATATTTTGGTCATAATATCTATCTGAGCCACTTAAGGTCACTTAAGTTTACCTAGTCTTTGTTGTATATGGAAGCACAGGAAGATAGAAATTTAATAATCTGCTCAGTTACTGACAGACATGAGAAATTATTTTGATTCCTTATCACAAATATGGCAGCCTCTTTCATGGGTCCATTATGATCTTAGCACTTTTTATTGAGTCATTTCTCTGAAATTTACTGACACCTGAATTCAAACTTTTGTATTTTAGATAATTCTAGTTCTTGACATCCATTCACAGTTAATAATTTAGTCCATGTCATTCAGCCTTTTAGTAGATTGTATTTACATTGTCATTGGGCACTAGTTGGAAGAAAGTGCCTCCATCTGTGCTCTGCAGAAGTAAATCTAAATGTTTGCCTCATGCCAGCCACTGAGCACTAACATAAATAGTTCTGAGCATTTAGTTAGCACTTTCTAGCGTTTCTGCTTCTCATCAGTCCCCTATAGTGATACTTCTGTGTTTTTGTTCCCAGTGTCTGATCTGTTAAACTGTATGTTCTTTTTGTTACAGGTCTACAGGAAAAATGCTTGCTGTAGTTTATAAATCTATATTTGTTAGGAATGGCGACCAACAAAATACACATTTGTAACTTTTTAATATGAGTTAACTGGTATCTTGATTAAATGTGCAAGTGGAAGAACTTCTAGGCTTCCGTCACAGCTACAGAATTCTAGAACATCATAGAAGCTTTATATATACATAGACTCTGATGCAGAAGAGCAAAATCAAATAATATACTAGACTTGTGAGAATTTGGGTGCTTGCTTGCATAAAAACAGGGATGTTAGTATTCTGCTTTGGACAGCAGCTAAAAAATGGATTTTGACCAACCAAATATGCATTTGTTTGCCAGAACAGAAAGCTGCACTGTCTAATATGACGTCAAATAGGTATGTAGACCTAAGGAGGTAGGAGTAACTGGTCTGTGGTATTATTAGAATGTGAGATGTAGCAGCTGATTCTACTGCAGCAGTTTAACTCAGATCAGGAGTGCGCCTCTGAAGTTACTTCCTGGCATGTGGCTTGTGTTGTGAAGCAGTCTTAGAGGAAATGGTGGAATTCCTTTAAGGTGAATCTGAAGTGAAACCAGGAAAATCAAGAGCATACAGCCTAACTACTGATGGAAATTCAGTAGGGGGAACTGGAGGCTATTTAGTCCAAACTCTTAAAAGGGGTAGGTGGAGAGGAGAAATTCAGTTTAGGTGTCCAGTTTCAAAGATCCGTTTCTGTTGATACATGCCACTTCCTAGTGTAAGCATGTCTCCCAGAATGTCTCACTCGTGCAATTTCAGTTTTTACCAATGCAGGTATCACGCAAACAATTAGACTTCTCTTAATCATTGAAAAAAAACTCACAAGGCTGCTACTTCTTAATGAGGGAAAGAACTTTAGGTCTTTTGCCAAATAATGCCACTGCTAATCTTTAGGTAATGTCTTGTTCCCATGTTACTTCTCTGCAAAACTAGTATTCTTAATTCCTGTCGTGTTTTGCCCTAATTTGCCGTTATTTTTGTTTCCTTATTTCAAAACCTGGAATGTTAATAGAAGTAGATTGCACTTTCACTACCGGTGGTCAGGTATTGCAGAGGCATTCACTAATGTCTGTGATCACTGGAAACTAGTTACTAGTTTTAATTTGGTAAATAGAATTTATACTGCTGTATGTTACAGAGCAGAAGCATTCTTCCTCTAGTGTCAGGGTAGCTTATATATCAACCTATAAGTTATTCTAGGATCCCCAAAGTAAAAGCTGTGTATAGGTAGTGCATAACTAACTGAGTAATATAATTGACTGGCTTTGTTGTATGAATAGCTGTATAGTATGGAAAACACTTTCAGAAATAATTACATATCAGTTAAATTACTCTATTGTTTGTTGTTTTGTTTTTCCCTTTTACTAGCTTCTGAAAATAGCTTCAGATGTTGAAGTGATTCTTCGAACTTCTGTTATTCAGGCTGTTCACACAGATTCCAACAGAATAGGTGAGTAAAGCTGTGTGCTAAAAAGTTGTTTTAAATTGTTGTAGTTCAGCAAATAAATAGAGAACTTGAAAACTAAGTGAAGGGATAGAGAGTTCAAAAGTCTGTCTGTATGTCATTTCTCTGCCCAAACCTTTAATTTAAGCCTGTTGACTAATACCTAGGACAGGTGGAGGTTTCAAAGGCACAGAATTTCTGCACAAATATTTTGATACAGAGGCTGCTAGGAAAGAGGCAGTGACTACGTTTAGTGCCCTCATTGAGAGAAAGAAGTTCTAACTTGGCACCTTAACTATTAAGAGTGACAGCAGTTATGTAGCTGGTCAGCTTGCATGTACTGGCTAGTCAGTCAGTGCATATCTAGGTGTAGTGCCCACAGTATCCGTAGGTGCTTGCTTTATCAAATAGGTAGAAGCTTTTTGAGGAAAATTAGCCAGTGCACTATGTACACTGTCCATAAAACAGCGTGGGGGGGTTTTTGAGGCTTGAGTGTTCTTTTCGTAAACCTTGTTCTGACAATTCAAATTCTGAAATTACAATTTGAGGTTTAGAAGTTATTTTATCTTAGAGTCAAACATAAGAGAAGCAGTAAGTTCAACGTACAACTGTGTGGTAGAGGATAGAAAAAGTGTTCAGCTGTGTACATTGTTTTCATTTCACTTCTGTTCAGTGGTGTCTGTAAAGCTCTGTGACTGTTTCAGTTTGAGATTTGATAAAGCACTTAACTTTAGAACAGCCATTATGATTGAGACTAAAGATTCATCTACCTAGACCAGTGTCGAGTCTTTCACAGTGATCCTAGGCAGATGACAGCAGAACAGAGGAAGAGCAAGTGAAATTTTACATCTTTCAGCTGTTTACACATGGAAGCACTTCATGCATCAGGGATGGGTTCTGTGGTTTCTGCTCTAGTTGTCCTCAGTGGGTTTCTCTTTTGAACTTGCTTCTGTTGACCTATGCAAATTTCTTGCATCCAAGAACCTTTCACGAAGAATTTATACTGTTTTTCATGAAATCACTTGCAGTAGTTTTGAATTTGGTCCTGCTCTTTAATTGCTATCCATTTTCAACAAGCATGAGCTTTTAAGCCCCTTATTGCCCCCTTTTTGTTTTTTTACCCCCCCTGTGGAACAGCTTCTCTGGAACAAGGTGAATGCCTGTGGTCATTCTGTTGCTGTTCTCTGCACCCTTTTCAATTCTACTCTGTCTCCCTTAAGATGATTAGGATCTTGCTCTCTCAATCAGAGCTGAGCACAGTCATCAAGCTCTGGGCAAACCAGGCATTTATACACACACTGATGGCGCAGTGATGTTTTCTGTTTCATTCTCCGCTGGTTTCCTAGTCATTCCTAATTCTGAATTTCAATTTTGGCTGCTGTGCATACATACATTTATTTGTTTTTACAAAATTAATCTTGTATTCACTAAACTCATCTGAATGGTTATAGTTAATTTTTTAATTTGTCGCTTTCTTTGTGAAATTAGTTTTGTTGGTTTGTTGGGTTGTTTTTTTTTTTTACTTGTATGCATTACATGTCTCTACATTTTGTCATTTTACTGGTTATATTGTTAAGTCTAACTCTCATCATGCAATTCTTCACAGTAAGCTATTTTCTTAAAGAACTTACTCAGGATGGTATCATTAGAAAACATCCTTTTCCAGGTTACTTACAAATACCTTGAACAGCACAGATGACAAAAAAGTACCTGTAGAACACTTTTGACATGCCTCCACTGGGAGACCTGTTCATTTATTGTTCACCTCCTCCAGTTTAAACAGTGACTTAAAAGACTTTCTGTGACAGTAAGGCTGTTGTTTTCAGAAGCATGCCCTGAAGGACTTAGGGAATCCAAGCATGTTGGGCAGCTCCTGGGCAGCCCCGCAAGAGCTGTTCAAGCAACTCCATCAAGAACTGTGAGGCATAACTTCCCTGGCAAAAGTCACATGAATTTGTGTTCAAGTACTAATCTATCTTTATGTCAGTGTGTAGGGATGGGGTTAGGAGCCCAGCCAGAGCCCACCTAGAGCTGATCTGGGCAAGAAAGGTGAATGACAGCAAGAACAACAACTATAGGTATATCGGCAGCAAAAGGGAGAGGAGGGAAAATGTGAGCCCACAGCTGAATAGGGCAGGGAACCTGGTAACGAGGGACACAGAAGAGTATGAGGTGCTCGTACCTTCACCTCAGCCTTTACTGCAAAGGTTTGTCTTCAGAAATCATGGGCCTGAGACCACTGGGAATTTCTGGAGGAAGAATGACATTCCTCTGGTAGATGAGGAAAAGACAAGGAATATTTGAACAGAAAGGGCATAGACAAATTCATGGGACCTATGTGACACACCGATTGGTGGTAAGGGAGCTGGCTGATGTCAGTGCTAGGCCACTCTCAAGTCATCTTTGAAGCGTCATAGTGATTAGGGGAGTTGCGTGAGGTCCGGAAGAAAGCAAATGTTTCTCCTCTTTTCAAGAAAGTCAAGAGGGAGGATCTAGGAAACTGGTCAGCCTCACCTCAATCTCTGGAAAGGTCGTTAAGAAATACCTGGAAGCTGTTTCCAAATGTTCTAAGAACAGAATGGGAATGGGGAGTAGTCAGCAAGAATTTACAAAGGTGAGGTCTTCTCTGACCAGTCTGATACCCTTTTACAGTGAAATTACTTGACTCAGCAGACAAGGGCAGAGTACTGCTGATTGTCTGTTTTGACAGTAGCAGAGTTTTAATGTTGTCTCCTTTTAAATACCCATAAACAAGAAAGGATAGAATTGCCCCTGCCTAATTTTACAGACTTCTAAGAGAAGGAGTGGCAGAGAGGTTTTGGGGAAGAAGGAGGTCATCCAGGGTGTAGTACTCGCCAGGAAAATGTCCTGCAGCAAAAAATCTGGAGCGCATCTGTACAAGGGTGCATTTGACCTACTTATGAATGCAGAGAATGTCATTATGAAGTGTTTTGCCCATCCTTTTTTTTTCTGTATGCATTTTGAGTAAGTCTTAGCTTTGCTTCTCACTCTGCAATTGATCTTAATGCAGCAAGAGCAAAACAATGCTCTGGAAACAGCCATCACAATTTGAGAGATGTCTGGTTTGCGTGTGCTTGGAACTTGTACTGAAGTGAGAAATACTTAGTCTTGATAATACAGTGAATCACCAATTAAGGGATCAGGAATCCTTAGAAAAATAAATCCAGAGCATCATGATAGAAGTTCGTAGAATAAGAATGAACAGTATAAAAAATGGATAGAATGGATTCTTACTTGTCCTGGTATTATTAAAATGCAAAGAGCGTTCAGTGAAGTTGAAATTTACATCCAAAACTAATGCAAAAAAAAAAAAAAAAAAAAGTCATTTTTTATTTTACACAATAAATAATACTTAAAGGTCATGGCAATGAAAAATCTTAGTGGCCAGGAGCAAGGTACTAAAAATACAAAAAAAGCAGAAAATCAAATTTGATGCTTAGCTTGATACCGTACTAAAAGAGTAAAAGAGAATCTCCTTACAGAAGGAACATACAGACCTTTCCACCATGGTAAATTGATTAATAACATAACATTATTCCAAAGTGTTACTGTTTGAGCAGCCTCTTATAGTGTTTGCATCTTTCCTAAGAATTCAGCTTTGATTAGACAGCACTAAGAACTAAGCAATTCTGGTATAGCGCTTATTAATGTCACTGGTAGCACAGAGTATGCCATTAGAAAATTCTGGAAATTCAGAATTTTAGGGAGTTGAGATAGTTGTCACTATATTTTAATAGCAGTTTATAGCTAATAGCATGGTCAGTTTACTGTGTGAAATTGTACCTCAAAAATAAATAATATTCCGTATATGTAACTAAATTAATATGTATATGTATCTAAAAAATAAAAAATAAATAGGTGTGCTTTCCACAGCTACTCCATTTTGCTGAATATCTCACCTTACTGTTTTCATCCTTTCTTGTTCGTAAAGAAAAGTAGTTTTAAGATTTAAAAGAGGAAAAAAGTTGGAAGTGGGATTTCAATTTCCAGTTGAATCTATGGCTGAATGTTTTTGTGATTTAGTATCAGCTGGCAGCTAAGCCCTGCACAGCCAGGACTGGGGAGTGAATTGGGAGACTAAAAGTGAGAAAACTCATGGGCTAAGATAAAAACAGTTTAACAGATAAAGCAAAAGCCACACAGGCAAGCAGAGCAAAACTAGGAATTCATTCACTGCTTTCCATGGGCGGGCACTGTTCAGCCATCTCCAGGAAAGCAGAGCTCCATCATCTGTAATGGTGACTTGGGAAGACAAATGCCATCACCGCAAATGTATCCCCATCTTTCTTATACCAACTTAAACTGCTGAGCAAGATGTCAAATGGTGTGGAATATCCCTTCGGTCAGCTGCAGTCAGCTGTCCTGGCTGTGTCCCTTCCACACATCTTGTGCATTTATGTAATGAAAATAATCAAGTGGATCTTCTCATTTTCCTTTACTTTTTAACACCTAGGAGCCAGTTTCTGTTGGGAAGTTTGTTGTAGGAAATGCGTGTGTAGGTAATGTGAGTCTGCTTAGGTATTCAATTTCAGTACAGCTTTGATTAAGGAAGTTCTAGCAGAACAAAAATCAGCGTTCTTGATCCTTAAGACTCTGTGCCAATAGTTACAGTTAGCTTCATCATTGCTTTTATAGTATCATTGCTTTTATGGTATCATCACAATATGAAAGGCTTGGGAAAGATTTATTAAAAAAAAAAAAAAAGTAGAAGTACAACCCTAAGGTGGTTGCTTGAGTTGCTGCATGTTGGCAAAGAAAAATAAGCAACCTCAGTTGAATATTTCACTTTGTAAGTGAAGGTTTACTTAGCTGTAGTAGAAAATCTAGTGGCCTATTGTGAAAAAAGTATAAAATACTTACATTTGGGCTGTATTTAAATTACTATAACATCCTTGCTTCAGGCTTCTCTTAGGTTTGGGAGGGAAATGGTTTGGGATGAAGGAATTAGTTGCTATGTTGTATGAAGGAGCAGGAGAAAAACTAGGAAAAGTGTTTCAGAAAGCTGTTGCGACTCACTCCTGAAGTGAGCTACTGTCGATCTTTTGACTAAATTTTTTATTATAGCTGACAATATACAATTTAGCTACCACTGTTTTTTTCTTTTTTTTCAATCATGCATCTCCAAAGAAACTAAGAACCAGAAATAAAAAGACAAAGACTTGTCTTAGATAGAGCAAATACTGGTAAGGCAAACATTTTTCCTAATCAAATGAAATTATTCTGTGGTGTCATAGAAGCAGTGCACAAGCCAATGATATTCTTTAAAAACAATATGAGACATAGAATCGTAGAATCATACAATACTTAAGGTGAGAAAGGACCTTAAGATCAAGTTCCAACCCCCCTTCCAGGGCCAGGGACACCTCACACTAAACCATATCACCCAAGGCCTCGTCCAGCCTGGCCTGGAACACTGCCAGGGATGGAGCATTCACAACCTCCCTGGGCAACCTATTCCAGTGCCTCACCACCCTAACAGGAAAGAATTTCTTCCTTATATCCAATCTAAACTTCCCCTGTTTAAGTTTGAATCCATTACCCCTTGTCCTATCACTACAGTCCCTAATGAAGAGTCCATCCCCAGCATACCTATAGGCCCCCTTCAGATACTGGAAGGCTGCTATGAGGTCTCCACTCAGCCTTCTCTTCTCCAGGCTGAACAGCCCCAACTTTCTCAGCCTGTCTTCATACGGGAAGTGCTCCAGTCCCCTGATCATTCTCGCGGCCCTCCTCTGGACTTGTTCCAACAGTTCCATGTCCTTTTTATGTTGAGGACACCAGAACTGCACACAATACTCCAGGTGAGGTCTCACAAGAGCAGAATAAAGGGGCAGGATCACCTCCTTCGACCTGCTGGTCACACTCCTTTTGATGCAGCCCAGGATACAGTTGGCTTTCTGGGTTGGAAGCGCACACTGAAGCTGGCTCATGTTCATTTTCTCATCGACCAGCACCCCCAAGTCCTTCTCCGCAGGGCTGCTCTGAATCTCTTCTCTGCCCAGCCTGTAGCTGTGCCTGGGATTGCTCTGACCCAGGTGTAGGACTTTGCACTTGGCATGGTTAAACTTCATGATGTTGGCATCAGCCCACCTCACAAGCATGTCAAGGTCCCTCTGGATGGCATTCCTTCCCTCCAGCGTATCAACCGAACCACACAGCTTGGTGTCATCGGCAAACTTGCTGAGGGCGCACTCAATCCGACTGTCCATGTCAGCGACGAAGATGTTGAACAAGACAGGTCCCAACACCGATCCCTGAGGGACACCACTTGTTACTGGTCTCCAGCTGGACATTGAGCCATTGACCAGAACTCTTTGTGTGTGGCCATCCAGCCAGTTCTTTATCCACCATCCATCTTTTATTTATGATGAGTGGTCCATTCATCAAATTGATGTCTCTCCAATTTAGAGACAAGGATGTCGTGTGGGACAGTGTCGAACGCTTTGCACAAACCCAGGTAGATGACATCATCTGCTTTACTCCTGTCCATCAGTTCTGTAGCCCCATCACAGAAGGCCACCAAATTGGTGAGGCAGGATTTCCCCTTAGTGAAGCCATGCTGGTTGTCACCAAGCACCTTGTTGTTTTTGATGTGCCTTAGCATGCCTTCCAGGAGAATCTGTTCCAAGATTTTGCCAGGCACAGAGGTGAGACTGACTGGTCTGTAATTCCCTGGGTCATCCATTTTCCCCTTCTTGAAAATGGGGGTTACATTTCCCTTTTTCCAGTTGTCGGGAACTTCACCTGACTGCCATGATTTTTCAAATATGATGGCCAGCGGCTTAGCAACTTCATTTGCCAGCTCCTTCAGGACCCGTGGATGGATTTCATCAGGACCCATGGACTTGTGCATGTTCAGATTTTTAAGATGGTCTCGAACCAGATCCTCTCCTACAGTGAGCCCAAGGTCTTCATTCTCACAGTCCCTGCATCTACCTTCCAAGACTTGGGTGGTGCAGTCAGAGCCTTTGCTAGAGAAGACCGAGGCAAAGAAGTCATTCAGAACCTCAGCCTTCTCCAAATCCTGAGATTTGGAGAAGCTAGCTAGTTCACCTGAGAGCTTCCTGGGGGGGTGTATAATCATGTTGGGGTAGATCTTTGCCAAAAAATTCAGCTGAGCTTTTCTTACTAAGGAGAGGACAATTTCAATTAGGAGCTTGTTAGGCAAATAATTATTCTGTTCTTTTGGTTTTTTAAAGCTTTCAGTGTGAGTTACTTGGTAGTATACAGGTATCTCTGTTCTATTAAAATCATTTTTGTTTCAGATTAGGGTGATGCAAGAAGAGATTTCAATTTAGTAATATACCACACATGCAGTATGTCCTGGTGATTTTGATTCAGTGTGTTGCCAGTGTATGTTTGAAACTTAGCTTTGAAAAGGAAAGTTAAAAATTCTTATTTCAGTCTTTGTTTGGACTTCTGTTTCTCAATATTTTATATCCAGTTCTGTTTTTCTTTGGAATTTATGTTTTGAGTACCTGTTCTACTTGTGTAGGTCGACATGTTTTGTTATAAAATTACTCAGATGTAAAAGAAATGCAATCGAAATTTTACTTAAAGCTCTTAGAGACTTATTAAATACATCAGTATGAGTACACAGGTGCGCAAGCAGCATGCCTTTAAAGAAATCAGCTTTCTTAGAAGGCATGGGATATCAGTGCACTTTGATCAGAATGTTACTCATTGCACACACATCTGCACAAACACACAGAGTTTTACAGGTTTACTGTACTTTTCACAGCCATCTGACCCAGTCAGATTACAACGTTAGGATTTCAGGTGTTTGTGTTTTAATTTTTGCTACTGGAGCAAATCAGACATGACACACCTCCTCTGGTTCTGAGGAAGGAAAGCTGATTTCTGAAGAGCTAATAGGCAAGACCTTAAGAGTCAGGAAGAGGTTAAAATGGCATATAATTAGGCAAACCTTAACACACCACACCTGTGTGACAACGCAGTGGCCATAATTTTCATTTGGTACTTTCGTTTGCTGTTGTTCTTTAAAACAGGTAGGGCAAGGTGAATATTACAGATTAGATTCCAGGACTTTGAGGGAGAGGGCTAAGTCCAATTTAGTATTCATTTCTGGAACTGTTGGATCACACATATTCTGACTTGGGCATGATAAAACTGCCAGTACCTCTCTCACTAAAAGCTACTGCAACACTATATCATTTTTTATGGTTTCTTAGTGCTATTAAAATAATTTTCAGTACTCTAAAAAGAAAAAGGGGAAGGCAGTATTCTGACCAACAGAAGGTAGAAATCTCAATATTATTTTGGCTTGGGTAGATCCCATGATGCTGCTTGGTACATTTCCAGAAGTTCAGATTCTTATTGTAGTAACCTGATTTTTGTTCGTAAATATAAAAACAACTTTCAAATTTTAAGTAGTATTTTCCATAAGATTATATATTCTTAGAGGGATTTTTTTCTGTTACAGTGCTCGTACCCAGGAAAGATCTGCTACAAGACAACACTCCTTACTTTGATAAACCAACAAAAAAGCATGAATCCTGAGGAAAATACACCCCTCTCCCCAGAAGGTTGATATCCTGTGATGAGAGCTCTGAAAACCAATAGTGGATACCCGTATTAAAGCTAAATTTAAAAAATCATTGAATACTGTTACCAGGAAAACAGGAACTGAAACCAAGTCACTGTTTTTATCGTGTTCTGTGGTACCATCACCTACTTCTGTGGAAGATACTAATACTTCCACAGAAATGGGTACTAAGACTTCCACTTCAAGATGGACAGTTATCATGAAAATACACTGCTGAACTGTGTTACTTCAGCCAGTAATGTTTTTCATTATGACAGTTGTCAGAGATTGTTTCTTAGCAATCCAAAGGGGTTTGGGTGTTTTTATTTTTTTTTCAAACCTAAATACAAGCTAAATGCAGTTCTTAATCCTGATAATATTTATTTATAAGTTTATTGTCAATCATATACTGTTTTGAAGTAATGAAAGACCATCGTGTGGCACTTGCCATTAAATTTATGCTTTGCACCAAAAGCATGATTCCTAAAGTTGTCATGAATTGTACACTAATATATTGTAATGCCTGAGAGAGTTCTTAAGGTTTATCTGAATAAATTATTTAGGTTTTACGGCTGTGAGAGCATGTGTAGTGTTTTTCTTCTCTCCTACACCTTTGAATGAGCAGGAGTGGTAGAGTTTTGAGTTGTTAGATGACAGCAGAACAAACGAACCCAGCCACAGCTGTGATTATAGAGTGACTTCCTGAGGTATTTTTCCAATGAGAAGGCTTGTTGATAAATGGCAGGTGATCTGACTTGCCAAAAGTGAACTTATTTACTAAGCCCTTATAATTCTATTTATTTTTTTTTAATGGAGACTTACTTGCTTCTTGTGGAATTTCTTGCAATAATCACTTTAATTTTAATCAGAACCAGATAGAACCGCAGTGATCCATAGAATCTTCTCTGTGAAATCAGTAACAGGCACCATACTAGGATCTAAATAACTCACATAGGAGTGAGGTAGCTCAGTGATACCTCTCAGCTCTGTGTCAGGTTCCAGTGATTGTTTCTTTTTAATAAGCCTCCAAGA